GCCTGCCTCTGCTTCCCAAATGCTGGGATTAAAGGCGTGCGCCACCATGCCTCCTCCCTGTTGTTGGGTCCTAATGTCTTCCTTGGGAGAGTGGGGGTAAGGCACGACATCTATGACCACAGATGCCGGAAGTGGGGTATAAAGTTTATACCAGACTCGTCTATTTAACAGCATGGAAAAACTTACATACCCTCCCAGCACCCAGGCTTTCAGATCCTTTCATGCATGTCTCTCATTGGCTAGGCACGATCAGGACCTCTGACAGCGCCTGTTGCTAGGCACTCAGGAAACACTGCTTGGTTGTGCCTTATTGGCTAGGCACAGATGGGTCCTCTGACAGCTCCAGGCAGACTCCAGGTTGACTCCTTTTGGCCTGGTAGGCCTTAACTCCCCACATATCCACCCTTTTTCATTTATTACATAGGGCGCTCAGCGGGGACCAGAGTTCTTTGCTCAGGCCTTGTTGACCCTGCCTGAGGAGGGTTCAGCAACTTAACGGTGCCTGTCTTAGGTTGGCCTGCAAAACAAGTTCTTACTCGTCTTTGACTACCAACCCTCGAAGAGCATTCATTCCTGGAGATCTGCCAGGTGTATGTGGGGGTAATAGGCATGCATAACCTCCTGTGGAGGACTGCAGGAAGGATACCTAGAGTCACGTTAGTTGCTGGTTACAGGTGTTGGATCTGCTGCATGAGATATTTAAGGAGAATAAGGGTTAACAAAACCACCCCACCAATAAATACATACGTGAGCATACCGGAGAGATCCAATAGCATTTTTATACTTTCCCCTTTTTAAAATAGGGTCTGGAGTTGGAGAAATGGCTCAGTGGTTAAGGGAACTCACTGCTCTTGCAGAGAACCTGGGTTTGGTTCCCAGCACCCACACAATAGGTCATAACCGCCTGTAGTTCCACGGACTCTGCTGCCCTCTTATGGCCCATGCAGGTACTGCATGTACATGGTGCACAGACATACACACAGGTAAAAGATATATATATATATAAAGTAAACATGATTAAAGTTTTAAAGGTGGGATTTTATGTAGTTCGGGGTTGCCTCTAACTCCTTAGGTAGCCAAAGATTATCCTAACTTCTGATCCTCGTGCCTCTGCTTTCAAAATGTGGTGACCGTGGACCTGCTCCACCATACTGTGTGTCTGTCATGCTGGGCGTGGGACCCAGGGCTCCCTGCGTGTTAGGCTAGCCTCTACCACCTGAATCACATCCCCACCAGATTTGGGTCTTTCTGAGACTAGGTCTCCCTCTGCAAGCAAGGCTGGCCTCTAACTCAAGGCGATCCTCCTGCCTCAGCAACAGGAGTGCTAGGATTGCAGAGATGTCCAACCGCATCCCCTCCCTGCCCTCTGAGAGCAGAGAAAGTTTTCTAGCTACTGTTATCTAATCTCTGTCTCTCTGTCTCTGTCTCTCTGTCTCTGTCTCTCTGTCTCTGTCTCTCTGTCTCTGTCTCTCTGTCTCTGTCTCTCTGTCTCTGTCTCTCTGTCTCTGTCTCTCTCTCTCACACACACACAAACACACCATACAACACACACACACACACACTCTTACCAACAGTAGGTCTGAGGAAGGAGAATGGGAATGACGTAGAACTTCTAATGTCTGTGGAATTATTTGCACAGTTCACTTC